GCACACATTGACTTGAGAACGTGTCTCATGTTCGTACCGTAACGTTTTCTGATTATTCTCCAATTGTTTGAGCTCCAGTACGTCCAGGACGCGCTGTCGGAGCCAATCATAGGTACGATTCGGGTCGCTGATCTTCATGCGCTGGTACTCGTACATATCTTGTTTCATCCAGGCATGTCTCCGAATCTGTGTACGAAACAGAGATTCCAAGATCTTTGGGTCGGGTGCTTCTCGGCACTCCAGTAGTAAAGCGTCCCAATCAGTAATAAAACGTTGCAAATCTTCATCTCTCATCCTCAATTCTCTAAGGCGCTCGAAGTCGTGCAGGTCGTCGTCAACCTCTGTCACTTTGTAGGACTGTAGGATGTGCCAGTAGATCTGGCGTCCTTTGAGCATGCGTCCTGCCCTGTGCTCTCTGGTTTCGATGAGCCTGATTTGGTAGCGCAAGTCTGAGGATAAGATGTCGCTCAGAGCGGTAGCGAGTTTGCAATCGATGCTCTCAAAGTCTCCACTGTCTTGTAAGTCCTCGAAGGTACACTCGGGCTGTTCAGCCACGCATAGGAAGGCATATGCTTTGGATGGTCGCCCTGAGGCAGCGCCAAAGTTCTTCCGCACCTTTTGCCGCCACTCGAGCAGCTGCGTGATCTTAGGCAAGACAGGGACTCGGACGGTGTCTGAATCCTTGATAGGAGTAGTAGTATTGACCGAAACCGCAGACAATGGCTGTGAGGGTATCGGTACACCGTCGGTAGTCGGTTCTGTGCGCACAGGAGACACATGGCGTGTCTGTGCAGAAGCTGCCGCAGAGGCTGCTCCTGGTGACGTACGTCATTGTTGTCCTGCAGAAGCTTGTGGTGCTTCGGCGGACGCTGCCGTCGGCCTGTGCAGGTCGGTTGCAGGTCGAAGGTGGAGACTGGTGTCGTTGGTGTGGTCGATCAGCTGATTCGTCCAGCTCGTCATGTGTTCGTGTATTTGGGCCACCTTTTGGCGTGTGTACTCATCAATATCCCGAGAACGTTGTGAGCACCGATCAAGTCGTTGCTCGTGGGCTCGGAGACGGGCGCCTTGTGCCTCCAGCTCGCTTTCCAGACGTGCGAGGTGCCCCTCAACACGTACCTTCTCAGTATCTCTCTCACGAATAACCTGGGAGAGCTCCAACTGCGCGTGGCCCGCCGCCTTCTCAACCTCCTGCAACCTGTCAGTGAGGCGGGCGAAATCGTAAACCGTGGGAGGAGAATCCAGCTGGCCAGTCTGGGCTCGTCCGACACGCAACTCTGCCAGGGCGTCCTGTACACCAGGAAAACGCTGCTCGATTTCAGAGATCCGGTTAGCGAGTGGCTGCACGACAGCGTTGGTCGCATCAAGCTTTTGAGTGATGACTCTCTCAGTACGCTGCAACATGTCGATCAGGTTCGACGAGTTGGTGTGTGCTTCGTTGCGAAGCGTCGCCGTAGTGTGGTCTATGTAGGATCGAAGATCATTGATCTGAGACTGAACGTCGCCAAGGTCGGTGGCCTCGGCTGGTGTTGGTCGGTTGCGGAGCCGGTTGTGGATCTCATCGTGTAAGATCCTGACTGCTGAAACGCCTGTGTCGCGTACGAGCACAAGCTGTTGCTCCATCTGCGCTAGGTAGTTGCGCAGGTTCTCGACCATCGCCGTTCGTTCACCTGAGTGTGACACCTCACGATCAACCTGGTACTGCAGCTCACCTATGATGCGTCGATCTTCGACGATCCTGGAATCAATGATCCCTAAGGCGCCGTCAAGATCTTGGCGCATGGCTGCAGCATTGGCAGCGTTCGTCTGAACGCTCTGCAGTAGTCCAGAATATTGTCTGGACACGAAGGTTTCAACCTGGTCTCTGAGCTCAGCTATTTCACCTGCGGCGGACGTTTCCGCCAGCTGGTCGTCTGAGATGGAGAGGTGGGGAGCATAGGCTTCCCTCTGCCCCCTCTCGCGAGGAGTGCTTGGCCTCTGAGAGGCTGCACGCGGGCTCGACCTACTCTCGCCGCATGGGCCTGGGGCCCCACGACGGTTGCGCGCGGACGAGCTGCGACTAGGACCGTGTGTGTGTGGTGTCTCATCCGATGATACCTTGGGGTACTGCGTCTGCGGCTGTGCCGCCACTGGTCTACTGAGTTCCTCGAAGGTGGCTACGTGCTCCGCAACAGGAACGGTCGCAGGGCTGGGGGTACCAGCACCTGAGGTCCATCGGCGGTTAGCGCGAAAGCGCCCTGGAGTATCAAGACCAGCGAGGCTTTCGCCTGACGCAGTTGGGATTGCTCCCGACTGAGGAGGAGATGGAGGATCGAAGGTAGGCGTGCGAAACTCCTTCCTACCTGTTCCTACTCCTTCTCCTGCCCCCCCGCGGGCGGCGCTGCGGTGAAGTTCAGCAGCTAGCCGCGCCTCGGGTCCGTCGGAGCTGGGGGGGGTACCTGGGACACCAACATAGTCCGCACTAAGGCTCTCCAACTCATCACCAAGCCGTCGCGCCGTCGGAGAGCTCGGACGCGAGGCCCCGATGGACCCCTTACGGCGCATGCGCCGTTTGGGTTCCATCGAGCCCGCGTGCGAGGTCGCGACGCGGGGTTCGATGAACGGTGAGCTTTAAAGGGCTGATAACCTGTGTATGGGGTTGAAGTACAAGGGTACAGAACCCCTGATCCGTTGGTAGAGGGAAGGAGGGATAGATGGATGTCCTTCCCTCCTGCACGATCAAAGGTCTGATCGATCTGTCCCAATACCTGAGCCCAAACGGCCAGGCGCAGGAGAGGTGAGGATAAGGAGTATTATATGAGGGTATTACACGGGTTCTATTCACACACTTCGCCCTGCCGAACTCGAAATTGTCAACTCCACTACTGGCGCAATCATCCCACCCGCCCGCACGCCATTGAGTTTGCAAAACGGATGTGGCGGCGATTGCGATGACTGCTTGGCGCTGGCCGGCACATCGTTGCGGCCGCGCGAGCGAGCACACGCTCGCGCGCAGAGCGGCCAGCTGGTCTGGCGCCACCGACGCGGCCACTGTGGCGTCGACCGCCAGGGCACTTCCCAGCGCGTCTCGCAGGCCGCGCTGCGCTGAATCGCGGGCACGTCAGTGTTGATTTAGTGGTTCGGGCGGGCGCAGTATCATGGCCATGTCGACAACGGAAGACAGGATGATGATAGTAGCGATGCTGGTGACGATGATGACACTCACGACGGCAAGGCCAATGACAGCACCGATGTTGATCACGCAGATGACGACGACGGTGTCCATGTGTCGGCGATGAGGTTTTGGAAGGATTTCGACGTGCGCGCGCGGCCAGCGCGCGCGAGTTGCCCGCATGGTATAATTTGACAGGAACCGTGCCCCCCCCCCAGCACGCGCACAGGGGCGTTCGAATGAGGTCGGAATGCGCGCGGGAGAGGCCCGCTTGGTCGCATGTAATGAATATTTGCTAAATGCTGGTCGTCGCAAGAATTCGCAAGACCGCGCGCTGACTATTTGAAAAGCCTTGTTGCAAACCCACGTTTTGATATGTTTCAGGGACACTCGATCATAAAAGCATGCAAGAACTCATGTGTTTGAAAGACTTCGGCACGCGCGCGCGACAACGCGCGCGTGCGGACTTGATCCCACTTTCTACAGGGGAATCTTGAAATTGGGTGAGTGATGATAAGAGAGTGTGCGCGCATATGTGAACTGCACATCCCCGGGGGGGGTACCCCCGGGGGGGGGTACGGATAACCCGGGGGGGATCCGAATTCCTTCTTCAGAAGAGAGGATAAATAGGGCAACGAGAAGACGGTGACGGGGCGGCGACGGCGGCAACAGGCGGCGAACCTGACAAACGAGCCTAGAATCCTCCGTCCCTGTCTATCGGCCCGTATTTCTCTCTCTCTCTCTCTCTCTCGTGCGTTGGGGAGGGAGGGTCCACGCACGAGCTCACGACGCCAACGTGGCCCAGGGCGGGACAGCATGCCAGCGACGTCGAAGCACACACCACGTCTTATCGAGCCCCTTCGGGAAGGATAAGGGGTACCTGCTGCGGCGCGCAAATGGAAGACGGAGGAGGAGGAGGAGGAGGAGGAGGAGCCGGAGGAGACGGCAAGCAGTGGCGGCCAGGCTGAGGGGTGCAGGACAGAGGGTGGGCGGGGCAGGGGCAGGGGCGGACGTCGTGGGAGTAGGCGTCGAGGCACTGGTCGCGGAGGTCATGGTCGTCGTGGCGGTGGTGGTCGTGACGGTCGTCGTGGTGTTGGTGTTGGAAGTGGTGGCAGTGGTCGTGGTCGTGGGCATCGTGGTGTCGTCGTGGCGGTGGTCGTGGTGGTCGTCGTGGTCGTGGTGATCGTGGTGTTCGTGGTTGAGGTATTGGTCGTGGTCGTGGTGGTGGGCATCCTGGTGGTGGCGGCGTGATCGCGGTGGTCGTGGTGGTTTTCGTCGTGGTGGTCGCAGTGGTCGTGGTGGTGGCCGTGTTGGTGCTCTGTCTCTGCCCCCCCCCCCCTTCGCTGTATCACTCCCTCTTTTTGTTCTCTCTCTCTCTCTCTCTTTCTCTTTCTCTCTTTTTATCTCTCTTTCTCTCTCTCTCTCTCTATCTCGCTCTCGTTCTCTCACCTTCTGCTTCGCTCCTGCTTTCTGCCAACAGCCCTCCAGAACAAGAGAAAAGGGAAGCGATCGAATGAAAAAACCTCCGTGTGCCCTGATAGACGCCCGTAACTCACAAACATGTGAAAGCTGTGGCTAACAAACTGCAGCAACCTTTACCAATACGAAAGATATGCTCCGCACCAATGCAACAAAACACACAGTAGGGCTGCAACGGCAGGCCACACGACCCTTGTGCCCACGCAGAAACAACAGGCCATTGCAGAGGCAGCAGCGGCAGGTCAATATCTCTGGGAGCTCTGGCTCGGGACGGGCCGCATAGGCAGGAAGTCAAGGGCAGCCTTGACAAAGCAATGCGCCCTTCATGTACACAGTGGCTAAATCCCCGTCAGGGTGAAGCTGGGCCAGCTGCCAATGGAGTGCCGCGCAAGCAGCGGCGCAGCAGGCAAGCCGTATCGGCGCAGCACTCCTGCGACAGGCAGCAAGAATGACAAGTTGTTCAAAGAAGCGTGATGCCATCCCACACGCAGTCAAGCTTGCACATTGAAGTGAAAGGCATATCCAGAACGAAGAAACGTCCTCCTGATACAACAAGAGCTTCATGTTTGCCTGGAAGCTGGGAACAGACCGTGGCCTCGCACGGCTCAGAACCTGCATTCAAATCAACCCCGCCCTAGCGCAACCAGGCCCTACCTCTAGCCCTCCCATTACATTCCTTTTCCAAATTTGAACTGACCCATCTACACATATGTAGATCCGTACTCCTATATATAGATATACACATACATACACGCATGCATTCATGTGTTTATTCATACATACATACCTACATGCATACCTACAGAAATAACATACATACATACATACAGACAGACACACCTACTTAAATGACAGACATCAATAAATACATACATGCATGCATACATGCATACATGATTGTATACATACATACATGCCTGCATACATACATGCATGCATACATACATGCACACATACAGGCATTCATACACATATTTACATACATACATGCATGCATGCATGCATGCATGCATACATACATACATACATACGTACGTACATACATACATACATACATACATACACACACACATATACATACATACATACATACATACATACATACATACATACATACATACATACATACATACATACATACATGCATGCATGCATACATACATACATACATACATGCATGCATGCATGCATGCATGCATGCATACATACATACATAAATACATACATACATACATACATACATACACATACATACATACATACATACATGCATGCATGCATGCATGCATGCATGCATATATACATACATACATACATACATACATACATACATACATGCATGCATACATACATACATACATACATACATACATACATACATACATACATACATGCATGCATACATGCATGCATGCATGCATGCATGCATGCATGCAGACAGACAGACAGACAGATAGACAGACAGACAGACAGACAGACAGACCTGCAGGCATACATGCATGCATACATACATACAAGACTGCATTGGCGCTTCGCGTCATGCACCTTGGTCCTCGAAGCTTGGCATGCAGGCGGAATGGCAGGAAGGTCAAACAGACAATTTAGAGATAACTCCTTGTTGCCGTTTCCGGCATCACCGTTATAATAATGTTATGTGTTATCCTTCTTCCATGCTTATTTGTCCTCACTCTCGCCCTACCATGCGAAATCTTCCCAATCCTCCTCAGCTCTTTTTGCGGAGGCTCCTCCTTGGAGAGCCTCTGGGGACCTCACGGAAGTTTTTCAGGCTTTCTTCAAGCCTTCAGGAGGCTTCCTGGGCGCCTTCTGGGGGCCTCTGGAGGCTTCCTCGGGCCACCCTGCCTCCAACCGCGGTCTGGTCATGATTTGGAATGCTTCGGAGGGCGTCTTGGGGCCATCTTGGGCCGTCATGGGACTCTCTTAGGCCATCTTGGAATCCTTTTGTGCCGTCTTGGGGTTCTCTTGGACTGCCTGGAATCCCTTTCGGATGGTTTGGGGGCGATTTTCGAGCCTCCCAGGCGGACTCGGACGTCGAGAAGACCGAAGAACAGGCATCCCCCAAATCCTGCGAAAACCTTAGGAAATGAGTGCTTCTCTGCGTTTTGGAAGCCTCTTGGGGGTCTTCTTTGGGTCGTCTTCGGGCGTCTGGTGGATGTCTGGGGCCTCTTGGGGCCCTCGGGGGGGCGTTGGGCCGCCCTCCTGACCTATTTGGGCCCCTTGCCGAGGCCCAGCAAGGGCTTCCGGAAGCTCGGAGAAGCCTGGGGGGCCTCCTGCAGGGGCGTCCAGGGGGTCCCTGGGGCCACGGATCCAAGGGGTCCAGAGGGTCCCTGGGACCCAGAATTCGGGGGGTCCGATTTCGGGGTGGAGGGGGGGGTCCCAGGTAATCAACAACATGAATGGGGATGTGTGTAGATGCATACATGCCGCCTCGTTGCCGTCTCGTGTGCAAGATAGGTTCTCCGAATTTGCCCCTGGTCGCCGTTCATTGCCGCCTCGTCGCCGCCTCGTCGCCGTCCGTCGCCGCTGGCTGGCTTCCCGAGGCTTCCGCCCAGTAGCTGCCCGTCTCCGCCTCGTGTACTGGCTGGGTTCCCCGGGTTTTCGCCTGGTCGCCGCCCGTCGCCGCACTGCTGCGACGACGGTAGATTCGCGTCGCGACGACGTCGGCGCTGGTTTCTGACCCCGTGTGGGTCGTCCGACCTCGAACGATCGCGGCTTTGGGGGTGCGCACATCGCTCGATCTCTTGCGATTCTGGGCCACTGGCGGCGTTCAACCTTGAACGCCCGCGCTAGGGCCGCCGCCACGTCAACGCGGCGCGAACCGACCATGTCACCTTCGTCTAGGAATGCATGGTAAGGGATCAAGGGTAAGGAGTCGCGTTCGGGCTATTGTCCAGGCTCGCTGGAAATAGGAATAATGCGACAAGGCTTTACGAGCGTCACAGAAATGCCATCGAGGAGGGGCAGAAGATGGAAAAAGGAGAGGAGAAGGAGAAGGAAAAGGAGAAGGAGGAGGAGCGACACTTGCCAGCAAGGGAAGGGCGGACAAGGAAAGGAAGAGGATCCGAGAAGAGAAGGCCAGAGAAAAAACGACAGTTGAGAAGATGAAGTGCGCTGCCCTTCAAAACGGCTATCCCGACAACGGACAGCGAGACATGCCACAAGCGATCAACAGGGCAGAATGGGCGGACCAATCCTGCTACCTAGGAAAAACAACACTGCCACAGGAGTGGCCAGAGAAGGCCAGAACGGCCAGGAGGAAGGGTAAAAAAGGAGTGAACAACAAAGATGAGGAAGAAGCAGGCCCAGATCCACACAAGCCGACCTGAAATAGGCAAACTCATGCGGGGAACCTCGGAACGGGAGAGACACGCGCAGGGTGTTCCCCAAAATTACCTGTGACGCTACCTCTGTGAATGCACCAGCGGGGCACGACCGGCCGCCCCACGGGGCGCAAGATCATGAAAGTTTTACTGCTACCTCTGTGAGCGCACCAGGGGGGGCACGATGTGTCCGCTGGGCGCAACTGCTACCTTGGTGAGTGCATCAAAGAGGCAGTCCGCTGCCCTTCAAAACGGCGATCCCGACATCGGACAGCGAAGCCCACCACAGTGAGGGCGGTACTCAGATCCAATCCTCTACCTTTAAAGTTGCGGAGTCGATCCTCTCTGCGTAGAGGCTATCGAGCCTCGGCATGATTTCGCAACCAAGCAGGAGTTATAAAAGTATGTTTTGAACCATGCTTGGCCTTCCTGCATGTATCAATGGCAAAGAACAACAGAGGCAAGAGTCTCCAGAGTCATAGGAAGCGACGCCAACACACACACACACACACACACACACACACACACGCACACACACACACTCACACACACACGCGTTCTAGCCATCTGCCGTGCTGGAAGAAGTTCGGAAGGAAGGGAAAAACAAGAAGAATGAGAAGAAGAAGAAGAAGAAGAAGTGGTTGAAAATTAGGAAAAAGAACTATGTTCCTCAAGCGAACGCTTCGGGGGGCATTGTATGCGCGGCAGCACCGCGCCTTCCCGAACCGACCAGTCGTGCACCACGCGTTGCCCAGAGTGCGGAGAAAGGAGGAAAGGACGCACAGAGGGCGGAAGAGCGAAAGCCTGGTGATGATCGTGGCCAGGTAAATCTCATGATTCTGAGTGGGGTCTGGGTCGAACTTCCGAGCGCGTCGAACAAGCAGTGAGTTGCACGAATAGCTGGAAGACACAACCAACTGTCAGTGCAGTTGTTTTCAGCAAAGACCGCGCGGCAGTCCAACTGCGGGTGCGTCCCAGGGCCCTAGGACTAGGGCCAAAACAGCGGCGGGCAGCGTGCATGCCACAAAACAAGACAAGCGTGTACAACATACACACATGGTGGCACGGGCGGCAGAGGGGCAGGGGAGTGCACTCTTCACACTGGGTGAGTACAATGCTGCCCCGATGCCGCTCCCTCTGAAAGGGCAACGCTGCACGCAATTATAATGTATATCAGCCCACGGGCCGAAACACCTCAAGCAGATGCGGCCTGAGGCTCGAAATATAAATATGAATGTCTAGATTCACCAATCCAGACTGTCAACTCAAAAGATATGCATGAGACACCTCAAGCAAGGTGCGGCCTGAGGCTCAAATATAAATACAAGAATATGAATATCTGGATACACTACTCCAGACGATCAACTCAAAGGATATGCATACATCACCGTAGCCCTCACTAGGTCCATCAGCAGCTGCCATCAGGACCTCACGGGCTCGCAGGCCCTGGAACGGCGACCCGACGCTGGGCCTTCCGCTCCTTGGCTCGCTCACGCTGTCCGCGGCGCAGCCGCAGACGGTGTGCCTCCTCATCCTCTTGCTCAGCAGTAGGCACCATGCTGAACAGGCCGTGGCGGAGGAACTGCGATAGTACCTCGTTAGGCTGCACGGCTTTTGTCAACACATCCGCTAGCATGTGGCTATTAGGCAGCCACTTGAACTTGATGGCCTCCTGCTCTATCAAATCCTTGGCCACCAGCAAGTCAATGAGGGTCTGCCGAGACACCGGCATCGACCCGATCTTGGACGTGTGATCGTAGAGCGACTTCGCATCCGTCACGAGCGCCCCTGGAACCTTCAGCGCCAGCCTCCAGTCCCCTTGCAAGGGCGGCTCCCCGTACAAGATTGCCTCAATCAGCAGCCTGAGGTAAAGCTGCCGATCCAAAGCCACGGACATAGCCGCAGATTCTGCGGCCATCGTAGATCCAACAACTCGTGTAATAGTACTGCTCTGAAACTCCACTAGACAGCATACGGTTAGCTCCTTCAAAACTCGGGTGTCCGCAATCATACTCATGAACCCCATCTGGCTCTTACAGCCGGGTTCCTTCGCAAACGAAGCGTCCATAAGCGTGAGCACCTGCAAGCGCTC